CAATAACCCCGCTGTTATTGCAGGATGCCAACAAGCACACAGCCCAGAGTTTGACCCCAGCATGGAATAAACCAAGCATAGTGGCTCAGGATGATAATCCCAGCACCAGAGAGACGAAGGATGGGAAATTCATGACCCATCCTCCACTACAGGTTGAATTTGAGGCCAACCTGGTCTACAGGAGGCCAAAAGAAAGAACAGAGAGGAAAGAAACAGACAAGAGAGAAACAGATAAAGTGTTCCGGATGGAAAAGGCTCATGAAGTGCCAGGCAGCATTCAGAAGAAGAACAAACTGACCACATTCTGGTGAGATTTCTAAACCCAAGGACTAGCAAGGAAATGTTAAAAGCTTCCAGATGATGTATTTACCCAAATGGAAAGATAAACAGGCCGGACTCAGATTTCTCATCGGCAGTGCAACAGTGATAGACATTTGAAAGAAAAGGCTGCAGACCAAGCTTCCTCTCTAAGCCAAGTTATCATTGTACTTATATAAAAAGCAAAAGACAGACATTTTTCCAGATATACAACAGAACAGAATAAACAGAAATGATATAGACACATACGCTCAAAGAAATTGGTTGAGAGGTACTTCAGCTGAATAAAAATTAAATTCAGAATAAAGATCTCAAAATAGCGTAAGAGAAAACATGTAGGAAACAGTAATAAACCCTAAATGAAGCACAATGCGTAGTTAAATCTAAATAAAGAATGCTAGTGTGGTTGCAGGCTGCCTTGGGAAGGTTAAGAAACCATTCTGGAAATGTAAACTCATTTTTTAAGATGGGAAAATAGACTGGATCTCAAATTTTGGAAACACTTGTTTTATTTTATGGGTGTTGGTATTCTACATGTAGTAACATGTGTGCTTGGTGCCCAGGGAAGCCAAAGGCTTTGGATCCCCTGGAGTTAGAGTTGTAGGGAGTTGTGAGCTACCCAGCCTGAATGCTGGGAACTAATCTGGATCATCTAAAGCAGTATATGTTGTTGTAGGAGCTGCGGGCCTCTTCCCACAGCCCGGCTCCTGCAGTGGCTAGCTTTACACCAGAAATAACAACACACAAATTGTATTCATTTAAACACTGTTGGCCTATTAGCTCTAGCCCTTACTGGCTAATTCTGATATCCCAATCAACTCATCTCTAATAAACTGTGTAGCACTGGTCTTACCAGGAAAGATTCAGCATGTCTGACCTGGCGGCTTGCTTCATCGCGTGCATCTGCCCGGGAGAGGGGAGCATGGCCTCTGAGCTCAGTTCCTCTTCCTCCCAGCATTCTGTTCTGTTTACTCCATTCACCTATGTTCTAAGCTATGAGGCCAAGCAGTTTGTTTATTACTTAACCAATGAAATCAACAGATTGATATATGACACTCCTACATCAATGTGTCTGTAACTGCTGAGCCATCTCTCCAACCTCTCAACTTTTGGTGCTTTAAGTGGGATGGGACAAGCAATGTGTGTATAAGAGAGAAAAAATGGAAGAAGCTGACAGGGCACATGACTTGGTAGAATGCTTGCCCAGAATGAACAAAGTCCTGAATCTGATCCATAGAGGCACATAATTCAGCTAGGTGGTGGACACCTGGGTCCCAGAAGTTGAGAGGTAGAGGCAAGAGGCTCAGTAGTTCAAGGTCATCTTCTAATACATAGCTAGTTCAAATCCAACCTGGGATACATGAGACTTTGTCTCAAAAATAAAATAAAAGGATAAGCTAAAAATTAAAAGTGTTTAAAGAGGAGCACACTGGGACATACCTGTAGACTGGAGCAGGCAGAGCATGGGTTCAAGGACAACATGAGACAGATAGTGAGCTTTTGTCAATAAAACAAACTCAGGCAAAACATCAGGCCTATTCCTCAGTACCTCAGAATGTGACCTTCTTGGACATAAGTTCTTTACAATGATAAGTTGAAGTGAGGTCATTGGGATGGATCCTAACCCAGTAATGATTCATACATTTATAAAATGCTGACATTTGGCTACAAAGGCAGACACTGAAAGGAGGGTGTGGTTGTATTTCCAGAGAAACATCTGCAAACCCAAGACCAGTAGAGTCTGGTGAACACCAGACCCACCAGAGATGGAAGGATTCTTCTCCAGGGCCTGCAGAGGAACAGTTCTCTGTCAACACCTTCAGATTCCAGCCTCTAGTCTTGTTGTTTTAAAGCACCTACATGATGCATACTTGGTTAGGTTAGATCTTGGGCACCAATGCACAAGTGAGCAGGAATGCCTAGGACATCATCTAATAATAGAGATTTCAAGTACACACACATTAAATATGTCTGAAAAGAGACATTTTATAAGGGCAAAGAAGAACTCAAGGAAAACAATGTTTTTTGGTTACAAAACAGTGACACAGTGAAATATGTATGAAGTAAAAATGCTTGGAAGCAGAAGACTGTGATAAACTACTTCAGATAGGTAAGGGAGACCATTTCTCTTTCAGAAGCTGGCAGCTTGAATTGTCAAAAGGTAAATAAGGGGTAAAAAGGCCTTGAGGAAGATGACCAACATTGATGGGACACAGACAAGTTGCAAATAAAGCTTTGCAATTAAATCTTCAACTACTCGGAAATATAAAATAGAAAAAAATTTAAAAAGTCACTCAACAAGGGAAAAGTAACTCCCCTAACTCCCTTTTTCACAAGGTGTTTGTGCTGAGGGAGGGGTTAGCTAAGGATTGAATCTCCCTTGGTGTCTTATCATCTTTGGGGACATACTCAGGATTGTAGATTTCTTCTTTCAGTCTTCACTGCTCTTAAAAGGGTGTCTACTATACAGCAAGAAGGACTTGGCCCTTGGGAAGGCTCTGGTTAGGAACATCTGTGCCCACCTGGTCAGGTGGTAGCTACCTGGCTGCTGGGTTTGTGCTCCCTTGTCTTGACTCGGGAAGAACCTGGTGGTCCTGCTAAGGAGCTGACAGATCTTGGTCCTATTGCTATAACAAAATACTGTATTTTATAAACAACAGAAATTTATTTCTCAGTCTTCTGGAGGTTAGGAAGTCTACAGGGTAATTTAGTTAGGGGGTAATTTATGGTTCACAAGTGTAATAGAAATAGGTTAATTTAAGATATAAGAGCTAGCTAGAAATATGCTTAAGCTATTGGCCAAACTGTATTGCAAATAATATAGTTTCACTGTGATTATTTCGATTCTGGGTAGTCAGGAAATAAATGAGCAGTCTCTGCCTACAAACTGGTGCACCAACATTGGCCAACTGCATCCACATAAAACCTGAGAGAACTTGAAACAAAATTCTAGACAGAAAAAAAAACAGAGTTTATTGCAGCTTCTTGGAAGCTGCATCCACCCCCCATAGGCTCTGTTTGCTGGTGGTGAGCAGGGTCACAGCAGCTCCCATGAGAAAAGGCATACTGATTCAGGATAAGAAATGCCAGCTTCCTGGTTCAGCCATCATGAACTCTGGATTTTTCAGGAGGCTGAGCACTTGAATGGGGTTTGTAAGCAGTGTGTTACAAACTGCTTAATGGTGTGATATAGACCTGCTGCATACCTCGAACTGGGGTGGTGTACACAACTCATAGAGACAATGAACATGCCTCTGCCATGTTGGACTGGGCATAACCAAAAGGCAAAGCAACCTTAGTCCTAGCTATGCTGTTTAGCATTTCAAGAAGTGGTCCTGGTCAGAAAAGGATTACAGATATACAATAAAGACAGATTCAGATGAAAAAGACTTCTGAATAGGTCACAGTGTTAGATAAATGTATATAGACTGGGTAGAGAGAATAAAAAGAATATAGAAAGTTATAAAAGGAAGTAGATGGTTTTTAAGAGATAAGATCTTTAAAGAGAGAGAGTACAGACAGTCATATATTAACGGAGTAAAGAGAAATAAGCCACAAAAAAGAAAAAAAAGAAAAATAAGCTACATAAAGATGGAATATAAACAAAGAGTCTGGATTATGTATATTATTGTATTTTTTTGAATTTTTGACTGTGAATGAGCTAAGTAATTTCATTGTATGGGCTGCTAAGCTAAACCAACATATATACTTTAAATGTATCTTGACTTTAAAATTTGTATCTAAGGATTTGTTGCTTTGGAAAAGAGTTTCTTCTTTTGTTTCCACAGAGGATGAGAACCTGTGGATTCCTTCCAGACTAATGTGGTTCAATGGACCAAGACCCCTGAAAGGTCTCCGTAAACCTCTAAAATTCCTTTGCCCAACAAAAAGCAGGAAGCAGTTTGGAGAGAACTGTACCCAATTTCCTTAAATTATTGTTTATAAATATTTGTTGACATTTAAAGGCAGATATGACATAAAGATGAATACTTTACATTGGTATGGATCTTGGTGTATTGATGCAAACTTAAGGTCAACCTTGTTATATGTATATTTCTGCTCTTGATTAGGCTTTTGTGTTTGGACAGCTCGTTTAAAAATATAATGTATAATTATGAAATACAGGTTAATAGATAATCATTTATAATAGTAAAGCTTGTAGTCATATTAGTTAAGTTTTCTAGATGTACAGAGATATATTTTGGATTGATGTGGGAATGGTTTCTTATTAATAAAGAAACTGCCTTGGCCCATTTTATTGGATAGAAAATTAGGTAGGCGGAGTATACAGAAGAGAATTCTGGGAGAAAGAAGGTTAGGAGAGTCGCCATGATGCTCCCACTCCAGACAGACGCAGGTTAAGATCCTCTCTGGTAAGCCAGCTCATGGGCTACACAGAATATTAGAAATGGGTTAGAACAATATGTAAGAGCTAGCCAATAAGAAACTGGACCTAGCCGGGCCAGGCAGTGTTTGAAAGAATACAGTTTCCGTGTAATTATTTCGGGCATAAGCTAGCCATGTGGGCGGCCGGGTGCTGGGGGGGGGGGGGACGCAGCCCTGCCGCTCCTATTTCAACATTGGATGGATAGTTATTCTTCAAATCTTTCAAAGACTAACAGAATGTGATATAAGAAAACTTAGGATTTTTCATGACAATGAGACACATTTGTTCCTGACAGTACCAATCAACTTCAAGAGGATGATGGGCATTGAAGAGGCTCCTTAGGGAGTTGATAGCCATTTGGACAAGAAACTGCCCTTACCTGGACTTGATGGTATACTGTATGAACTGGTCATGCAGGACCCACAGAGAAATGACTGCTGGACTTGTCTAAAGGTGAGTTTGGGGTTCCTGCTTCATGAAAGAGCCTGACAGACAGTCTGCAGAATACACAAAAAAGTTACTGACAAACTGCCAATGTAAGTGGAACTGTATTTAAAATTTCCTGCTTCATGGAAAAGTCTGCTGGATACTATGGCCCTGTAGAATGAAGATTAGATGCTCCAATGTTACAGAAGCACTTAGTGTGACTGTCCAGGAAGCAAGATGTCTCTGTTAATTCTAGAGTTTTGGAAGTTGCTTACAATGCACTTCCTGTTTACTTAGGTAATATTATATCCTTCTGGAGTCTTTGATGGAGTTGAAGAATAGATAGTTATAGTTTTCCTTAGTTATGATAAAAGATAAAGTATATATATAAACTGTAATTCTTGCTTGATACCTGTTTTGTTATATGTAATTTTACTATGTTCAAGTTAAAACCTTCCTTTTTTGTTTTTGTTTTTTGAGACAGGGTTTCTCTGTAGCTTTGGAGCCTGTCCTGGAACTAGCTCTTATAGACCAGGCTGACCTCAAACTTGCAGAAATCCACCCGCCTCTGCCTCCTGAGTTCTGGGATTAAAGGCGTGCGCCACCACTGCCCAGCTAAAATCTTCCTTTTTATTTAGACAGAAAAGGGGAGGTGATGTGGAATTTCCCTCTGTATGCGCTAAATACTGTTGTTTAATAAGGACGGTGCTTTGAGCCTATAGCAGGGCAGAATAAAGTCAGGCTGGAAGAGTTATATATATAGAGAGAGATTAGACAGAGTCAGAGGGATGCATTGTAGCCACCTGAGGAGAAATATGTCTGCATGCCAGTACCAGTAAACCATGAACCTCATGGTAAAATATAAAATAATAGAAATGGGCTAATTTAAGAGGTGAGAGCTAGCTAGAAATATGCTTAAGCTATTGACCAAACAGAATTGCAATTAATATACTTTCTGTGTGATTATTTTGGGTCTGGGTGGCTAGGAAACAAATGAGCAGCCTCTGACCACACAAGTGGAATCTCTTTGGCAGTTATCCAGGTGGTAGGAAGGGTGAGAAGCTCCTTTGGGCCAGTATAAAACACTGATCCCTTTTAGGAGGGCTCCATCTTCAATGGCCTCTGATAAAGGTCCTCACCCTCCTATTGTTACTTTGGGGTCAAGATCAGAACATATGGGTAGGGAGGATGGGAACCACAAACAAATTATAAAAGGAACTCCTCTAGATCAAGCCAGTATCAGTCTTTAGCCTACTTTTCCTTCATTCATCCTCTGTGGTATAGTGAGCTCAACCCTCACTCTAGAGTTCCTCATCCCCACAGTATGTAGGAACCTTAGACTCCCTCCCTGATAGGCAAGGAGGAAGACACGGTCTCTTTCATTGCTTCTCTTACCCTGGAATACACTTAGTGTTACATGTTTGTTCTTCCCCATGGGATGGAGAGGAGGTATGCTTTGTGGCAGACATCTCCAAGAGTTCTCAATGAAAAATTTCTTTTCTTTTTCCTTTTCTTAAATTTTATTTTATTTTATGCGGGGAGGGGAGAGGTTGCAAGGGCAAAGGGACAGGGAGATGAATGGGATTGAGATGCATGATGTAAAAGCCACAAAGAACAAATTAAAGGTTAAAAAAAAGCCCACCTTCTTATCCCTGCTTTAACTATCCAGATCTCCACATAAAACAATGGATTACTAAAGGATAAAAGAGTTGTTTAACACACAAGTAGGTGTAAAAGAGAAAAGTGCATTTATTTCAAGCATAGATGTTACCTGTCTTTCCAAAGATTTCTATAAGCAGAAAAAGCACAGCAATTTTGGTCACTTCGTGGAATATTTATAAAAAATGGTCATGTGCTTGGCCCAAAAATAATGTTCATAAATTGCAAGACATAAAGATTTCATAAGGTGCATTCTGTGCCTGCAATTCAGTTAGGCTAGAAATCAACGCTGGAATGTGCAAACACAGCAAAAGTAGACAAAAGATTCCTTCGAAATTAAAACATGATTTTCAAAATATTCCCTGAATCAAAAAGGAAATAGAAGCACAATTTATTTAGGTGCTAACAAAAGGAGAGAGATTTATAGTAAAGCTTCTGGGAAGTGGAACCACACATCTGTTTGTTGTTTTATGAAAGAAAGAATGAAAACAAGGGAACCATCTTTCATTCCCAGTGTTGTAGTTGTCTAGGTATTTTTGAGCATCTAGAATCATCCTGAGATGGCAGGTTGGTGGTTTGAAAGAACATGGCCTCCTAAGGGAATGGCACTATTAGAAGGTGTGGCCTTGATGGGGTAGGTGTGGTCTTGTTGGAGGAAGTGTGTCACTGTGGAGGCAGGCTTTGAGGTCTCATACATGCTCAAGCCATGTCTGGTGAGAGATCACTTCCTCCTGATGTAGCCAGCACCATGTCTGCTTGTTTTCTGTCATGTCCCACCATGATGATAATGGACTGAACCTCTAAAAATGTAAGCCACTGCAATTAAATGTTTTCCTTTATAAGAGTTGCTGTGGTCATGGTGTCTCTTCACAGCAATAAAAACTCTAAGACAATAGGTAAAGGGAAAGTTGATATACACAATAAAATGTGTTATAAAATCTATTCTTTTTTTTACTGTATTTGTAATATATCCTTTTATAACAGTTCAAAGGCAAATTTTAATTTCAAACCAGTATTTTTAAAAGTGTACTTTAAAACTCAATTAAATTTTTGGGGTCTGCATAGGGTAAACAATTCAGGCCACACATTTATTGTGTTTTGTAAAAAGGAAAGACAAAGAGTAAAATGCAGCTATTATGAAAGATGAACCATTATACACATATTAAAGGGCTGCTTCCTATCTCTGCATTGACAGTGGTATTGGAGGACTAGCCACTGACTTCTTTCTCTCTGAGACACTCATGCAACTCTGGCTGCCTAAGAGTTCACTATACAGTGGGGTGTGGATGACCTTGAACTTCTGATTCTCTTGCTACTAACCTCCCAGGTCCTGGGAATGCACTACCATGCCGACTTTCTTTCCAAGTGCTAGAGATAGTACTCTGGGCTTTGCACATTTTAGGCATACCCTCTCCCAACTGAGTGACATACCCAGTCCTCTCCAATTTCATTCACATAGTTTATGACACAACAGTAAGACACAGAAAACAAAGCAAACCCAACAAGATCTTTGATCAGTCACTCATATTCAAGCCCCTACATGGGAAGAAGGAATATCTGTAGTAATACAGTTTGTTGTCCGCCCCTCCACTCGGAAGCAGCCCTGTGTCTCTCCAGTCCACACTTAGAACTTTATCTTCATGAGCAGCTAGATCATAGAGAAGAGCCTTATAACTTCTTGTATCCCACAGCTCGATAATGTTATCTAGAGAGCCTTAAACAGCTGTTGTTTGTGGGTAGGAGACCACTTCACTGCTGTTACCCAGCCTGTATGTGAGGTGAGAGACAGTGACATCAAAGAACCATCTTTAGTTAGGGGATCCCATAGTCTAATATGCCTATTGGTGCTTCCAAAGGCCAAATGTTTACAAAGGGAAGATTAGGAGATATAATCAAACATTTTATTTCCTGTCAAAGTTGACTTAAGGCCACCATCCCACACTCTAAATGTGTGATCCCAGGATACATTGCAGATCTCTTCAGCATTTCACCAAAGCACTGAGGAAATTGTTTCAGTGTGGCCAAGAGGGTCACCAAGGGAGTCCTTGTTAGTCCCAATTGCTCTGCTTTCTGCTTCTTTCTTGGCCAATTTGTGGATTCTTCCACTTCATCTGTAGGAAATGTAGACCAACTCTTTAGCATCTTATCTATCCCAGGAGCCACTACAAACTTTAGTTCCTGAGCTATAGACGCTGTAGTCCATACTCCCACACGACCCTGAGCTATAGACTGCTGTGTCCATACTCACGACCCTGGAGCTATAGACTGCTGTGTCCATACTCACACATGACTCTGAGCTGTAGACTGCTGTAGTCCACACTCCCACGTGACCCTGAGCTATAGACTGCTGTGTCCGTACTCACAACCCTGAGCTATAGACTGCTGTGTCCATAGTCACAATCCTGAGCTATAGACTGCTGTGTCCATAGTCACGATCCTGAGCTATAGACTGCTGTGTCCACACTCCCACGTGACCCTGAGCTATAGACTGCTGTGTCCGTACTCACGACCCTGAGCTATAGACTGCTGTGTCCATAGTCACGATCCTGAGCTGTAGACTGCTGTGTCCACACTCCCATGTGACCCTGAGCTGTAGACTGCTGTAGTCCACACTCCCACACGGTCTCTGCAGCAGGTAGGGCTTTCCCTCTGTTCTTCTCCACATTCCATTTCTGTAAGAGGATCATCTGGTCCACTGAAGCACGTGGTAGTAAGTAGGACAAACTGTCTTTTTTCACCCCAGCCACATCTTTCACACCATCTGTATGTCCCACAATCGTCACTGTTGACTTCCCTTCCAAGGACCAGACTGAGAGGTTTTCTCATAAGAACCAGACAGGATCCACTCTTTGTCCCTTCAGTTGAGCTCATCCAGTCATCATGCTTTGCTCTGGCTGGGGTGCGAGTATTTTTCCACATATTCTAGTTCCATGACCTCTCCCGATGAAAGGTTTTCCGGTTCCATGTTTGGCCAAGGGCATTCGAAGAAACTGCTTTTGATAAGGAAACCGGACTCAACATGTTTGTGGAGCTCATGTTTGGTCTTCAGCAGTGTACTGACAATGTTACTAAGGTCAGCAACTTCAGAGAAGTGGGGATTGAGAAAGGAACGCCATCCACTGCATAGTTCTTGGTGTAGAAATGCGTCTGCAGTTGTGCCATGGCCAAGAGTACACACGAGACTTCGCCACAGAAATGTATGCATTGACAGTCGAGTAGCTCTAAATTACACAAGCATGCTGCAAGTGCAGTGGAAGGTACGATCCTGGTGTCTTCCTCAGACCACAACACGAGGTTCCTTTTGCACAGGCCTTAACACCTATTCTTAAAGACATCAACAGTACTGTAAGATGGTGAAGAAATACAAGATCAAATAGCTAAGTGAAATAAAGAACTCAAAACTTAGGGACACGCCTTGGCCGTTAGCTTAATTAGATGTTACAGGTGTTGAAGGGAGGGGTAGAGTACAAAGCCTGAGTTCTCCCCAGAGTGTGCAGGGAAGAGTTGTCTCACCTGCAGAGAGCCACATAATCTTAAGAACTGGCTCTTAACCAGCTGGCTCTTGGGAGACAACTCAGTACGCATCTCAGGGTGATGATGAACTCCTGACCATCCTTGCTTTATCTGGAGCATACTGGGCTATGTGACTTAAGACACTGGAAAGGAGGAGTTAGGCCAGGTGACAAACTCCCATCACTCGGAGGTTGAAGCAAGGAGGATTTTGAATTCAAGGCCTGCTTGGGATATATAATGAGACTTTGTTTCAAAAAAAAAAAAACTATAACAAAACAAACAAACCCCAAACATAACAAATAATAGAAGGTGTGTGCATTTTATTTTTTGCAAAGTATGAATACTTGACTTTCTTTGAAAGGAAGCTGTATAAACTAAAGTATATTTTACATAAAATTTCACCGCTTTCTTAAGCCTTGTTAAATGCTAGTGTTTTAATTTGATTTTATGGTTCTTGGTGTGTGTTATGCTGTTATAAAAGCCTTGCATAGTTATAATCAGGATTAAATGCCTGTGAAATGGTGTTTGCAAAAGGCAGCAGGTCATGAGCAAGCTGGGTTTGTTCCAGCAAAGGCATACTGGCTCAGGCAGTGGAAATTCAATTAGCAGCCTTTCGCCACCATAGCAAACACAAGAGCAAACTGATGGGACCATGTTGAGATGAAAGCGGTAACTTAATAAACTTAAATATCCACTTACAATCTTTTTGATTGTTGTTTTTTTTTTTTTTTTTGTCTTATTTTTTGAGATAGGATTTCTCTGTGTAACAGCCCTGGCTGTCCTGGAACTCATTCTGTAGACCAGGCCGGCCTCGAACTCACAGAGATCTGCCTGCCTCTGCCTCTCAAGTGCTAGGATTAAAGGTGTGCACCACCACTGGCTGGCTGTACTTACAAATTTTAAAAGTGCTCTTAGCAAAGTAAAAACAGAAGGTAATGATCAAGTTTCACAGTCCCGGTACGAGAAGCTGAGGCAGGAAGATTGTGAGATTGAGGACAGTTTGGGCCACATGTACAGGTTCTGTGTTCATGCATGTGTGTGACATATACATGTGTATATATGTCATTTTCATTATACAAACATTTATGTGTAAAACATACTATCTTTTTAAAATGTTTACATTTTATTCTATGGGTAAGGGTGTTTTGCCTGCATGTATGTCTATGTACCATTTTCATGCCTAGTACTTGTGGAGGTCAGAAGAGGGGTTGGAGCCTCTGGAACTAGAGTTACGATGGTTGAGAGTCACCATGTGGGTGCAGGGAATTGAACCTGAATCCTCTGGAATAGTAGAAAGTGCTCTTAATCAATGAGCTATCTCTGAAGCTCTAATTTTTAAAATATATATAAGAATTCACATATGTTCAATCATGTTCAGAAATTGCTACCTGCCATAGTGACAAATAGTAAGAAAATTCTCCCAACAAATATACTGCTTAGTTTTGAGATAATAAAAATATTCACCCTTCAAATCGGGAATTAACCGTAATCATTATCACTGTGTCTTAACTATCTATGAAATTATGAGAAAGCTTTCCCAAACTGCATACAAATTGAGTACAATGGCCCTTATCTATAACCCAAGAATTTGGGAGGTAGAAGCAGGAGAATCAGGAGTTCAAGTCCAACTTCAGCTACACAGCAAGTTCAAAGAAAACTAGATTTTACCAGACCCTGTTTCTAAAAAAGGGGAACCAAACAACAAATTTTAAAAATCACACTAAAAAAAGAACTTTGCAAATATATTAAAATTAAGTTAAACAAATATATGGATTTTGGAAAGATAGTCCTAAGTACCTTTGGTAGATGGACAACATACACGACATTTAGCAAGAGAAACAACGTGGGAGCTTAATGAATGAGAAAGATATCATTCCATATGAGGGGAAAGGGTGTGCTCTTCATAAGTAATGCTGGGATGAATGGTTTACTCTTTCATAAAAAATAAAGCTAAAACATGGCAAGAAAATCAAATGCAAAGGATCTAAACTGTAAGTTAAAAATTAATAAAGCCACAAAAGCACTGATAAAAAAATTTAAGAATCATTTGCAAAAGATTCAAAAAGAGTAAAACAGTAGTAAAGACGCGATATGAAGTGTTCTACCCAGAAAAGGAGTCCTCTGGCGAAAGTAAAGCTGGTCCAAACAGGAGAGTTCACCCATCAGTACGTTCAAGTTGTCAACTCTTTTGTTTGCTTGTTTTTTTTAAACTAGATGAAAGTAAGATCCCAAATGTTGCTTACAGAAATTAAGCATGCAGAGAAGGACAGAGATCCAAGGATACTCACAGCCCTGCTTGACCCTGTGAGGTTCACTTCACCAGCTATCAGCTCTTGCTATGAAAACAGCCACATAGCCTGTGGTGCCTCCATCCTGGCATTTGTCGTCAAATGTTTCATGCACCAGACTGGATCCAGGCTTGGTCCCCCACTATGGCAGGTGGAGGCGATGGAGCTTAGAAGTAGGCTGGTCTGGTGGAAGCTAATTAGGTGTGACCCTTCATGTTCACAAAGGAATTCATGCTGTCTCAGGGGACTGGGCTCGTTCATACAAAGCACATCAGCAAGTGGGGTTGCTTGTCTTGACTTGATCCCTTGTGGCCAATCTCAACACAGATGTCTCCCACACATTTCCATCACTGTGCCGTCTTCACCAGACCCAAGCAGAAGTTGGTGTCATGTTCTTGCTCTTCAGAACGATCGGTCAAACAAACATCTTTTTGTTACCCAAACTCAGTATTTTCTTAAAGCAACCAAACGGAATAAGGCACTCATTGTGCAGGGACCATTGGATCTGGATCGGGTGAGCCTGGCTTGTACAGCAGAACAAGTTTCTGAGGAGTCATTGTGTAGGTACTGAGCCAGTCGAGAGGTGCCTTGCTCAGCAAGCGTGGAGCCTTGGGGTTGGTCCTCAGCATACAAACATACGATAGTCATTTACCCCTTCGTCCTGCCACTGCTCCATGAAACATAGCTGAGGCTGGACTTGAACTCCTGATCCTCCTGCCTCCATCCTCCAAGAGCTGGGAATCCAGGCATGTGTACCGTCACCCCTGCTCCACCCTTGTTTGGGGTCTTACTCCATTTCACATGCTGTGCCTGCTCACAGATGTCTTTCCTTCAGTCATGAGTACAGCTCATTACTATTCTTGACTCTGTGCAGTGGTACCCTTCACTACTTCTGAAAAACCCTCAAGCATCCTTTCCCACTCTTTCTGGACTCTCCTCCCTACAGGATATGTAGACGTAGATGCACGTTTTATGAAGGAATTTCCCCTATGCACCCGCCGGACCTTATCAAGAAAAACCCGGGAAGGGTTTCAGCTCCACTGCCAAGGCTGTCGCTTAGCAGAATGCCTTCTTGCTTTTGAGGGAAAGTGTTCATTTATTCAGGCCCCCAGCTGTTTGGATGAGGCCGATCTGAGTTATGGAATGTAATCTACTTTACTAAAAGACCTGCTGATTTAAGTGTTGATCTCATCTAAGAAGTATCTTCACTAGAGCAGTGTTTGACCAAATATCAGGGTCTGACCGAGTTCTGATTTTAATTTTTCATTGCAGGGAACAAAAGTGTGGCTCAGTAGTACATCTCTTGCCTGGCATGCATGAAGCCCTGGATTTGATACCCTACACAGCAAAACAGAAGGGGGAAAATTTCCCATTGCACTGGGGAATGCTGGGTAAACTTTGAAACTACTTTGTCTCACTCATGCCCCCTCTTACACATTTCTCGTATCTTCGCTTTTTTACATAAAATCTTAGATAATTTTTGTCAGCAATGTTTTGCCTTACTAATTTAAAACTACTTTCTCTCTCTTCTTTGTTTGTTTGTTTTCAAGACAGGGCTTCTTTGTGTAGTCCTGGTTGTCCTAGAACAAGCTCTATAGACCAGGCTGGCTTTGAACTCACAGAGATCTGCCTTCCTCTGCCTCCCAAGTGCTGAGATTAAAGGCATCTATCTCTGCCACCATCACCCAGTAAAAGCCATTTTCTTACATAAATATTTTTATGTTATTGTTTATTGAATGGTTTAATTTGTATGTGTGTGTGCACCTCTCTCTCTCACTCTGTGTGTGTGTGTGTGTGTGTGTGTGTGTGTACATGTCTACAAGGGCACTTGCATGCACATGCCTACGAAGATCCCAGAACAACCTTGAGTACAGGGGTCTTGTTTTCTTGGTTTTTTGGCTTTTTTTAATTTATTTTTAGGGGCCTTGTTTTTAGACAGGGTCTCTTTAACATGTATGTGTATGTGCATATATGATTTAGTGTGTGTGATCCCAGTGTTTCTGTGGTGAGAGGGAAGGTGGAGACACATGACCTTTAAGTCATCTATAAATTCAGCTTGTGGTAGTTTGAAAGAAAATGGCCCCCAGGGAAGTGGCACTATTAGGAGGTATGGCCTTGTTGGAGGAAGTGTGTCGCTGTGAGGGCGGGCTTTGAGGTCTCTTTTGCTCAAGTTTCCCTCAGTGTGAATCTTAGTCGACTTCCTGTTGCCTACAAGATGTAGCACTACAAGATGATGATAATGGACTGAACCTCTGAAACTGTAAGCCCCAATGAATTGTTTTCCTTTATAAGAGTTGCTGTGGTCATGGTCTCTTTTCACAGTAAGAGAAACCTAACTGAGACACAGCCCAACACAAGATTGTAAATGTACTTAAGACATAACAGGGTGGGTTTTTTTTTTCAAAGATATTTGTTTTGCAGTTTATTGTACAGTTCTCAGCCATGAACTTTGTAGTGGACACCATGTCAAGATGTCAAAAGCTTGCACAAGTCTGACGAAATTCAGGCTCTGTGTCCTAATTTCCTTTTCTGTTGCTGGAAAAATGCATGAGAGAAGCAACTTGGAGAAGGAAGGGTTTAAGACCTCACAGGTTAGAGTTCATGATCAAGGGAGGACAGGGCCATGTTTCCAGCAGGCGCCTGGGACCAGGAAGGGAAGAGAACCCCTGGAGGGGCATTGCTGCCTAGCTTGCTCATCTGAGTCCTGAGCCTGAGGAAACACTTCCCAGAAGACTTCACCAGCAATTACAGATGAATCTTCAGCCCCGGCTAGGCAGCACCAGTTGTCCCAGGAAAGCAATGGTTTCACTTACACAGATTTTAAATCCAAAATAGCTCACAGTCGGCTCCTATAGAGACTTTGAGGGAGGCTCAGATTTCTCTCTGAAACCTCATAAACCGGGCCTCCATCATGTGCACTGCTCCAACATTACCTTCTATCCTCCTGTAAGAACAGTGTATTAAGCTTTGTGTACTTGTAATTCGAATCTCCAATGCTTACATACTTTGTATAAGTGTACATGCCGGCTTACAAATTCTCAGGTGAAAACTTGTGTTCCTTTCCACTCAGTAGTAAGGTTTTAGGGAGAGGCTTCATAAGTAGCACAAAAAAAAATTTTTTTTTTTTTTTTTTGCCAACCTATCTTTGTGATGGGTGGAGGGTCTCGCCCCATGCTGGTGAGAGAGACCAGGGCCTAACTGGCAGGAAAGGAGGCATTCCCACCGAGCTACACTTCAGTCATAGGGCTAATCCCTTTTGTTTGCTTGTTTTTCCTGGCAGGAAAAACTCTGTAGGCTGAGATTGAACTGGTATTTACCAGGTAGACCAGGCTGCTCTCAAATCTGTAATCCTCCTGCCTCTGCCTCCTAAGGGCTGGGATTACAGGTGTGCAGTGCCATGTTTGGCCAGGACTAATTTCTTTAGGCCTATAATTTATGTCTCTTTCCCTTCACAGTATTTTTGTCCTAATAGTAATAATAATAATAATAATAATATCTCCGAGATTGTTTTCTTTTCAGGATAAACTCTTGAAGAATTTCCAGTTTCCCAGAGTTTGTGATGGGTACACACAGCAGTGATAAGCCGCAGGGGATTTCTCTCAGTCTTGCTGTTTCATCTCACTTCTTTCAAAATATTTTGGCTAACTGAACACTGCATACTATTATCAAAACTAGGGAATAAAGGCTTTTCAATTACTCTGAATGAAGCCATATAGAGGGTCAATTGCATAAGCAGAAAACATTGAGCCCCACCCCACATATATGGATCCCTAAAGTCACGAATTTGTTATTAATAACTAAATGGTACACATGCCTGTAATGCATCACTCAGGAGGTGGAGACGGGGATCAGAAATTTGAGGTTACTCTGGGTTACATGTGACCGTATCTCAATAAAACAGAACACCAAAATCTAAAGCATTTCTTGATTTCTGAAGAGCCAAAGAAGCTAAACAAGCTGTCAGCCTGCCCTTTGTATCATAATTCCTGGAGTGACATCATCTACTCACGTGATCTGTGACATCTAATCTAGGCACCGGTTGATGCGTTTGTTCAGAAGTGGTCTGAATAAAGACAAATGTCAAGTTACACAGAATTCTGATCTTCCTGTTTCCATTTCCTAAGGATGAGGACTGTAGGTGCTCATTAACCATACCTGGTTTATCGACTATAGTGGGTTTAGCCCAGGCCTTCCTACACACTACGTAAGCACCAACTAGGACCCCCCACCTCTAGATGCCATCCTTATGAGACTCTTCAAGAAACAGAGGAAGACTTCTAGGTATCTTAGGACTGTCTTCAGGTGCAGTTGTTGGAGAAAGCAAGGCTACCTGGATGGAGCGCAAGGCAGTAGGCACACTTCCACCTACTGAATCATTGCAGTGACTTGGATCCCCCCCAAAGCAGGGTCCGTTTATTCAAATCCATGCTCTCCCAAGCCAAGAATGTTCTTTCTGGAATGAAACTTGAAGGTCATCTGCAGAGAGTCAAATCGAGAAACATCAGGTCTGCAAATGCCAGGGTCCAGGCATTGCAGATCCTGGGGCATTCACTTCTAATGCCATCTGAATGGCAGAGCACTGGTAGAATTCGGCCAGTTTCTCTTGCTTCCATTAAAGTCTATAGGGAACGGGTTTTCTATTTGCTCTAAAAAAGAAATTGGAGACTTAGTTCGCTGAAAGTTATCTGACATCAAATATCAAGACCAACCATGAGAATTGCTAATTTACTGCACAGACCTTTGCATTCATCGGCTTTTCTCAGAGGAACAATTCTACATAAAAAGGGATCTACCAGTTCCAGGGCCAGATTGTATGGCTGTCTTAAAAACACGATTTTCATTTCCTTTCTCCCTACTTCTGCTTTTCTTTTTCTTCTTTTTATTTTCGAGGCAGGGTCTCATGTAGCCCAGGCTAGCCTTGAACTCACTATGTAGTATAGGATGGCCTTAACATCCCAGTTTTCCTGCTTCTACCTGCCTTGTGCTGAGATCTCAGGTGTGTCCCTGTTTATGGTTTATGCAGTGCTGGGGGTGGAACCCTTGGATTTCTACAGCCTAGACAAGCGCTTTGCCATCTGTGGTGGTTTGAACAGGAACGGCCCCCATAGACTCATGTGTTTGGATGCTTGGCCATAGGGAGTGGCACTATTAGGAGGTGTGCCCTCTTTGGAGTAGGTGTGGTCTTGTCCCTGTGGGGGCAGACTTTGAGGTCTCATATGCTCTAGCTAGGTCTAGTGTGACATTCACCTCCACTGTCTGTGGGTCAAGATGTAGAACTCTCAGTCACCTCTCCAGCACCATTGTCTGCCTGTGTGCCATCATTCTTCTCGTCGTGACAATAATGGCCCAAATCTCTGAAACTGTAAGCCAGCCAATTAGATGCTCTCTTTTATAAGAGCTGTAGTCGTCATGGTGTCTCTTCACAGCAATAAAACCCTAACTACAACCCCAGCTGAGGCCCCGCCCTAGTTCCCTCTCTAACTGTCTCCTCCTCTCATTGGTCCCCTCTCTGACTGTCTCCTCTTCTCATTGGTCCCCTCTCTGACTGTCTCCTCTTCTCATTGGTAGAGTTTTGTTTCTTCCCAGAGACCACAGAAGTGAGAGAGTTCCATACAGGTTGTAAAAAGACCACAAGCGCAGAGCCACTGTTGGAAAAATTTTAGGAGTAAATGATTATTTAGGTGCTGTGCATCTAAGTTTCTTGATTTTCTTTGTCTCCTGTGAGAAAAGTGTTCACTCTGACTTCTTCTCCGTAGAGGTAAGGGCAGAGACTGAGCTGAGTTGTAGCCTATTCTGTCCACCAAGTCAGCAGAAAGGAAAGGCTTGTCTAGTGACTTGACTTGCAGCTCTGTCATGACGGTACCTCGGCTGGGGACAAATGAAGTTAGGTTCAACCTTTGTAACTTCTTCCTTTTACCTTCAGATAACACACCTGGAAACTCATGACGATTCAACTCTAATAAACGCCCACAAAATTTACCAAAGGTATTTTTACTGGTTCAAGAAAATTTGAGTCACCTTTTTAACAAAGCTACAGATTAGGTGTGTGTCTGTGTGTGTTATAGTTTTTTTCTGTGCTGGTATGAGGTGTGTGTGTGTGTGTGTGTTAATGTTTTCATCTATGGTGGCATTAGGGGTGTGTGTGTGTGCGTGTGTGCACATGCTATAGTTTTCAGCTGTGGTGGTATTAGGTGTGTGTCTCTGTGTGTGTGCATGTGCATGCATGTGTATGTGTGTTTATATATTACAGTTTTCAGCTGTGGTGGTATTAGGTGTATGTGTATGTGTGTGTATGTGTGTGCATGTGTGTGGTATAGTTTTCAGCTGTAGTGGTATTAGATGTGCTGCAATCTTAGACATAAAAGCAGTTACTGTTCTGACTTAGGGATAGCAGCTGACCCCAAAGGGTCAAGGCAGAGGTCTGTGTTTTGCCTATTACAGGTCCACAGTGTCAAAGTGGATGCTGCATGCTGGGTGTCTCTGTCCTAGTTTTCACTCCGATGAAGCTCTGTGTGCTAGATTCTTCATTACTGCAACGAAATACCAGATACGGAAGATGTAAGGTAGGCTCACTGTTTCTAGCATTTCAGTCCATGGTCCTGGCTCTCTTGACTCTGAGTTGGGGTGAGACAGCACTCTGTGGCAACAGGAGCGCACACAGGAGCTGCTCACTTCAGAACAGAAGGAACCAGAGACGGGAAGGGGTTTAGGGCCACATATAACTTCAACAGCTCTGTCCAGTTAAGCTCCAACTTCTAAAATTTCCATCTCCCAGAACAGTGCCGTGAGCTGGGAATCAAGCCTTTGATCCACGAGCTCACGGGTCACATCATAGCCAAGTCATGTTGCACCATCTGGCTGGTGTTGGTTTCTGTGGGAGATAACCAGCACACACCAGTTCTTAAAGGCTTCTGCCAAAAAGAAACATATACTTCACCCACGTTTGATTAGCCAGACACATTTTCCATTCTTCAGGATGGCCTGAACCTGGAAACAGAAGAGATCTAAATACCAACGAGCAGCAGTGATACCCAATGTGATGATTCATACAGTCATTCATTCATTCATTCACTTATTTTCACATGTGTGTGCTATTTGTTCCTGTTTGGTTGAGGGCACATGTATGTGGGTGTCTATGGGGGACAGAGGCCTATGTCAAGTGTCTTCCATAATCACCTCACCTTGTTTATTGAGGCGGGGGTCCCCACTTGAACCCAAAGCTCACTGACTCTGCTAGTCCAGCTATCCAGGATAGCACAGGATCCCCTGTGGGGCAATATTATACAGGCCCTACATTGCAAACTGTGTCTCAATTATTCCCACACCTCCACACTGGTCTGAGAGACAATTTATGTTGGGGCTAGACCCGAACAATCCCCTGCCTCCGAGTGCTGGGTTCACAGGGAGGTCATTACACCCACCCAGCTGGGTATCCAAGCTCCCATCTTCATGGTTGTTTGGCAGGGACTTTCCCACTAAGCCATCTCCCATCCCCTGTTTTCCATTAGGCCTTTCACCGTTTTGAAGCATTGGCACATCCTAAGTCAGCGTTGCTCTCTCCTCCACCCACAGGTCCTGCTTCAGCGTACACAGCCTGTGCGCAGGGCCCCACCACTAGTGCTCAGTGCTCTGAACTTTGAATAATCATATCTTTGACTTGTACTCTGTGAAGGAAGCCCAATGGGACAATGAAGCTGTGTGTGGGCCGAGGAGAAACTGCCCACATGCTTGCCCTCTCCTCTCACCTGCCCTGTTGGCATACACAAAAACACTTCATCACAGAACCCAAGTGCACCCGCAGTACCTGGGCACTCAGCAAGAAAGCAAGTACAGCGTAAGTGTGGTATTTCTACTGCTGGACCCATAGTGGAACCTGTTCCTGCCGTCAACACAGAAAGAAGATAACGACTGTCTCCAAAACAGTCGCGGGACAATATGACCAAGGGATACTATGGCATCTTTTCTTTCTAAATTAAAAAAAAAAACTTTATGTACATATTTGTTTGTTTGTGGTAGTGGAGACAGGTGGTTTGGGGTGGAGTGGGGGAGTCTGTGTTATGGGGCATGTATGGAGATCAGAGGACGACTTGCAAGGACAACTTGCAAGAGTTGAATGTCCACCTTCTACCAGGTGAGTCCCAGGAATCAAATTCAGGCCATCTGGCTTGCAGCAGCCTTTGCCCAGTAAGCCAGCTCTTTCCTGTGTTAGCCAGGTATGCTGGAGAGAGACTACAAGTAGCCACCTTCCCTTTTCTGTGAGTCCTTTCTTATGTGAAGTCTGACTCCACAAGATTTGAGATAAAAGCACTTTTTCTTCTTCTTCTTCTTCTTCTTCTTCTTCTTCTTCTTCTTCTTCTTCTTCTTCTTCTTCTTCTTCTTCTTCATTTTTTTTTTTGCAATTTCCACTGTCTGGTTAATAGTGAAATATACATGCCTATACACACTGTGGAATATGAACTACATTACCTTAGTGATTCTGCGTGAGTTAGTGTTTGCATCTGAAGCTGATGTTGCACAACAGAAAGATGAAGGCTTGAAATTTTGCTTCCTCTTTACTTTAAATGCCATTAAATAGCAAATGGGAACACTGTGACAAGTTCAAAGACAGAAGATGGAAGAGTCATTCTTGAGTGACTTTTTAGTTCATTCTGCTTTCTGTTTCATTGATTTGTGTATGTGCACGTGTGTGCACCACATGCAGAGTTTTGCTTTCTGTTTCACTGATTTGTGTATGTGCATGTGTGTGTACCACATGTGAAGGTGAGAAGACAGTTTGCAAAAATTCAGTCCTCTCTTTCCTTCTGTTATCTGAGTTCTGAGATCAAACTCAGGTTGTCAGTCTTGACAACATTCACCTTTACTCCTGAGCATTCTTGATGATGTGTCCCCTCCCTCCTCTGTTAAAGACAGAGTCTTAAATAGCCCAGGCTGGTCCTGAATTTATGGAGCTCTTCCTGCCTCTGTCTTCCAAGAACTGGATTACAGCTATACACTACCAAGTATGGGGCTGTGTTTTAGGACTTCTTCCTCTTCCTCTTCCTCTTCCTCTTCCTCTTCCTCTTCCTCTTCCTCTTCCTCTTCCTCTTCCTCTTCCTCTTCCTCTTCCTCTTCCTCTTCCTCTTCCTCTTCCTCTTCTTCTTCTTCTTCTTCTTCTTCTTCTTCTTCTTCTTCTTCTTCTTCTTCTTTTTCAGAAAGAGTCACACTGTGTAGCCCTAGCTGACCTATTAGAGCAAACTGGCCTTGAATTTGATGTAATCCTCCTTCCTCTGCCTCCTAAGCCATAATTATAGTACATGCTACCATGCACTTTCATTTTGTGATGGGTTCTGCCCAGTTCACATTTGCAGGCATGCATTGTAAAAGACTTGTTCAAGACATAAAATGTGAGCTTCAAGGGACCTCATAGGTTATAGGTCATCTAAACTAACACATTTCCAAATCCCCTTTCCTGCCTTATAATATCTTTGTCTGGGTGAAAGTCTCAAATATAAAACTGATCAAAGCTGACAGTGTTGGGTTGGAGGGAGGGGAACCCTGTCCACCTAGCCCCTCCCTCCTCACAATCCTGCAGCTTTGAAGATAGGATGGGAGAGTCTCTGTTTAAATGCCAAGGGTTGACAGACTGTTAGATTAATGTCAGGGAGAATCTGAGAGTCCAGAGATGGCTCTGTACCCAGCAGCCTCAGGATGAGGGAAGGTCCCTGGGAGTCACGCCAGCCCTGGGCACTAGCGGGGCTCAGTTCCTTACACTTTACCCCAAAGATCCCTTTGACAAAAGAAAATGAGTAATAGAAAACCTCTCCTACGGGTTTAGTAGGATGATCAAAATTACTGTTACCCAGGTACTTTGCTGCTGCAATACCCTCTCTTAACATTGAGGTCATGAGTTAGAGTCCAAACTCTCTGTGTGTAGCATCACAGACCTTTAATCCTCAGGAGGTAGAGGGAGGTGGATCTCTCTGAGTTCAAGGTCAACCTGGTCTACAGAGCAAGTTCCAGGACAGCAGAGAAACCCTGTCTGGAAAAACTAAAACAAAAATGCAAACTCTGGGCCTCAGAGTTTGTTTTCCTTCCCTATGATAAAATCGGGTTCTGATCCTTCCTGACCGTGGGCCTGCAGGGCAGGGACAGCCACATGGAAGACCTCTGGCTGGAATGTGGCCCAGAGGTTCATCGGCTTTGCTTCTATGCCAGGACCCTTGTACCAAGTGCAGAGAACTTGGTGCCTCCCTGGGGGCGCTACACTTCACCCTCTCTGAGATTCTGGCCTTGTTCCCTTCTCAAGGTCAGCCAGTACCCCATTTGCGCTTTGATCCCTAGCTTTATTTAACTGGAGAAGAAACCACTCCTCACTCTCCTGGACTCATTACCATGAAAGGGACTTTGCAAAGTCATTTCATTAGGAATGTTGCAGCAGCCTGGGGAGCCATGGTCGGAGCTGCTCCTACTTTCCAACCACCCCCAACCCCTTCCTTCCTGGACAGCTTCCTCTCAGCTTTCCTCTCTGAGAAACTCTGTTCCAAGGCAATCCTCTGCCTCCTGCCTACTCTTCTTTTTGTAACAACACAGTGGACTTCGGTGGCATTTCAGAAGGACCAGAAGTAAGTTGACACTTATGTCACCATCAGGGTTTTCTGGGCTAGATGCTGTTCAGGGCCAGAGCACTTGTCAATAGCAGGGCTGAGGACTGGGTTTAATCTTTAGTATTTTTTTTCTTGACTTTTCTCAGCTCTTGATAAGCTAACTTGGGAACTAGGGTGCCCAGTGGCCAGCAGTCACTGGTTAGTATTAAATGTCATCTTGACACAGCCTACAGCCGTGGTTCTCAGCTTGTGCCACAGCCCCCTTTGCGGGGGGAAGGGGTGTGTCAAACAAACCTTTCACAGGGGTCACATACCAAAGACCCTGCATATCAAATATTTACATTATGATCATAACAGTAGTAAAATTACAGTTATGAAGTAGCAACAAAAATAATTTTACAGTTGGGGGTCACCACAACATGAGGAACTGTATTAAAGGGCTGCAGAATTAGGAAGGTTGAGGTCTGCTGATCTAGAGTCATTTGAGAAGTCTCAGCTGAGGAATTGCCAAGATTGGATTGGTCTGTGGCACATATATAGCGAATTGTTTTGGTTGTTAATTGATACAGGAGAATCCAGCCCACTGTGGGCACCACGATCCCATTGGCAGGGGCTGCTATATGAAAGCTAGCTAAGCCTAAGCCTGCCCCCTGCAGCCCTTCTCTGCGGATTCTGTTCAAGCTCTGGCTTGAAGCAGATGAATTATGATCCGGAAGTGTGAGACAAACCCTTTCCTCCCCTAAGTTGCTTTGGATAAGAACATTTTATTACGGCAACAGAATGAAACCAGATCAGTCGCCAAAGCCAACTCAAGCCAGCGACTTTGAGTTTGTTGTCCCACAGCCAAGAAGAACAAGAAACAAAATATAGATTTATTATGGAAAAGTGAGAAAGAACTTCCAAGAGTGGGAAGAGTCCCAAGGGAGAAACACCAACATGCCGCCTGCCCAGTGGCCTTTTATGGGTTTTATGGCAAATGGAGACCGAGGTAATATCTGTTGGAATTCATCAGTTTTGAGTGTATCACAGACCCAGCCAATAGGGAGCCCATGTACTCTATACAAGTTCCCTCAGCCCAACAGGACAAGAATGTTGTATTACTCATCCAGCCAGAGTAGTGGGCACATGTGTGCCATGTGACTAGTGATCTACTACGAACCCTACTCTTACAGCCTAATAGAGCTGACTCCTGTTTCAGGCTTCAGGACTTTTGTGGACCATCTTCTGTCCATATTGCATGCCTAAATGTGTGAGTTGAGAAGAGAACACTAGAAAGTTGAAGCGTGTTATATAAGGGCAAAACTGTTTACAGAAAGTCAGCAAAATGATTAAATGTTTAATTGTCTTTGCATTTTAGATACTATCTTCAAATTACCTCTCCCTTTCATGTGTTTAATTCTGTTGTTCTTATTGGCTTAAATTCAATAAACATTAGATTGGATCAAACAACGTTTGTATGGCTTTTAGCTTTCTGAAATTTTCTTCCTTTTTCATTATAGTGAGTTTAAGATCTTTGTTATTTGTCCCCCCACCCCCCAACACATAGAAAACAGAATATCTTTTCCCCTGGAGTGAGTCATAGAAACCAGAACCACCTGGTCCACACTCTCCCCTTCCCCTTTGTCCCTGAAGACCCTCATTCCAGAGGGGTCCTGCCCCAGGCCTGGGAGGAAAGAATGCTAAACAGAATCCAGGCGGACAGGTCCCGCTGGTCCCCACCCAGTCTGTAGCCACGACACTAGTGTCTTTGTTAATCACTTTGACCTGTTCATTCTTCAACAAATCCAAGACTCAAATTTCTCTGACTCTTCCGTTTTCCATTTCTGAGGTCCCTATGTCCTATGCTACTTGCAGGCTCCATGCCTCTCACTAACCTGACTTTGATTAAAGAACTTCATCATGGGTGAGGTGAGGAATCAGTCACACCTCTGCCCTGACTGAGTGTGAGAAGGCAGCCAGGTGTCTCCCTCATCCAGGCTTTTATTCTCTTCCCTTTCAACACACACACACACTTACACACTCAGACACATTCAGACACATAGGCACGTACATATAGACACACACAGAGACATAAAGACCCAGACACACACACACACAGACACATAGGCACAAACACATAGACACATACAGAGACACCTAGATACACACATACACATACAGACACACACACAGGCACACACATAGACACACACACACACAAACACACACTCACCCCCAGACACAGACACACACATGCACAGACACAGACACAGATACACACACAGACACAGACACACACATGCACAGACACAGACACCCACAGATGCACATGCAGACATACATACACACACACAGACACAAACACACATGCACAGACACATACAAACACATGCATACACATATACACATACAAGCACATACATATAGACATACTCGCAGACACACACACACAGACACACACTGGATCCTCTGTGATAAAGAATGTCAGCAAAGACTG